CTTCGTCTAAAGTGCTTGAGGCGGGGACTGCGGAGCCCACCCAACTTCTCTCCCCCATTATTCTCACCCACTCCCCGTGAGGCATTACAGCGTTTGTTCCCACCCTCTTCTCTGGTCTGACACCCTGGAGCCGAGTGGTGGTGTGGTGGAGAGGGGGGTGAGCTAGGAGATGAAGTGCAGCTCTTTCCCCTTCTGGTTTGGGGTGAATGTCCCCCCATTTTCCATCCTGGGTCTTTCTGTAACTTGGGGGAGTCAGGTTCCCTACCCTACCCAGCCCAGGGAAGATGAGAACTGACCGGATGATAAGTAATTAATCTGGGATCCTGGGGGTGGGGCCTGAGGATAAGGGGGCCCCATCTGGGGAGGAGGTGACCACCTGGTAACCCACTATTGGCCTTTTGAGGTGTCCCTAAAGAGGAATTGTAGCTGCTGTGGGGGGAGGGCGTGGTGCTACTGGCCCCAACACTGGACAGTGACCATCTCACTCCTGGGACCCTGAATGCACCCGAAGTTGGGGGCGGGGCGTGGATGTTCAGGTTCTAGATCCAGTTCCTAGGAGAGGCTGAAGCCAGATCACAGGAACAAAAGGCACCAAGGGATGGGAGGTCCAAGAATCTTGGCCAGAGGGACCCCTGGCCAGACCGCCCGAGGGCTAGCCATGGGCTTGTGTCCTAGCCTGGCCTCCTCTTAGACTGAGTATGCTGGTAGGGACGTCATCTCCCCCCCACCTTACCCCCCATCAGCCTCCTGAGATGCAGGGCTGGGGCTGGGGCCAGCCATTAGTTGGGGGCTGCCTGCTTCTTCAATCCAGTCTCCCCTCCTCTCTCCCTAAACACAAGGCTTGGGGAAAGCGTGGTTTGTCCCATGCCTCTTTTCTTGGCCCTCTGTCCCCCTTGGACTTGGATTTGGGCTGTCTTCACCAGGCCCACAGGGGTCTTCCTGAACTAGAGGGTGGGCTCCCTAGCCTCTCTAGACAGCCCTGCGCACACCCCAGGGGCCAGAGGGAAAGGTACCAGCTACAAGTTCCTTGGGGGCAAGAAGAGAGGAAACGTTTGCTCTGTCAGCCTCCCCTTCTCCCCCATATTTCCTCCTTCTTTGACTGGATGGTGTAATTTGGAGGGGGGGGGGCAGCAGTATCACATGCCCCACCCACCCCAAGTAGCTGCAGAGACAAAGGTTGGCTTTCCCTTCCCTAGGGGTAGCGTCTTTGAGGAGTGTTTAGAAATGAGGCCTGGAAGTGGGGGTGGGGTCGTTTGTGTTGCTGTATGCAGGGTGGGGGTCGAGGAGGGGAGCTGGGGGAGTACCAGCTGTTCTTTAATAATTGATTCTTCTTACTCCCATCCCTTTGAGGGAGGGATGTCTGGAGCGGCAGCAGGCTCAGCCCGCCGGCTTGAGGACGCACTCTTGGGGGGGGGGGGAGCAGTGATGGGGGGAGGTTCTTGGCATTTTTGGAGCACTGTAGCTTGCTCATGAATGAAAACCTGATGCAACCCGGGAGGGGGCCTGTTGTAGCCGCCTTGGGTTCATTAAACTTTCTCTCCCTCTTTGTCCCCCCCCACCCCCCAGCCGCAGCCCTTTGTATCTCCATGGGGACCCTGTCTGGTAGTGCTGGGGAGGGGGGGTCTCATTCTGCCTTGAGGTTTTAGGGGCAAACAGACCCAGCCTTCCACCCTCCGCCTCTGTCTCCTCCCTCCCCTCTCACCCCCCCCCCCTTTTTTCCCCCTTTTCTTTCTTTCTTTTTTTTCCTCTAGAAATAGCAGCCTCCTCCATCTGGCTTGTGCAGATGCCTGGTGCCTGGAGCTGCGTCTGAGCAGACAAACAGAAACGGGCCGATTGCAAAAAAACGAATTTGTCAGCCTGGTGCCTTTTTTCCTCCCCTGTTGCCCTCCCTTTCCCTTACTTTGGGGCCTTTGTGCCCGAGCCAGCCCTTCTTAGGCCGCTCCTCGCCCAGTTGGGGGGTGGGGGGAGGCACAGGCAGAGGAAGGGCCTAGGCGCTGGGGACAGCGACCTGCCTGCATGGCCTTGCTCAGGAGAGGTCAAGTTTCGATGCCCTGAGGGCTTTGGGATGGGGTGTCTGGACTTGCCCGTGTTTGATGACATCCTTGGGGCGGCAGAGTGAGGCTCCGTGGGCTTGGTTCAGACGCCTGTTTTCCCAGAACTCCCGCCTGCCACTGTAACTGGGGGCAGGGCTGAAGGGCCTGGCTGGGATGAACTGGGGCGGGGGAGGGAGGGTGCTGGTGCTCAGGACTTTGGGCCTGCTTCTAGCAGTGCTGGAAAGAGAACAGCAGGAGCCTGCTGCTTGGTAGTGTGGGGGGGCCTGGCAGGGACCCCGGACTCCCCAGGAATTCAGAGGGAGTTCTTTGAGGGACAGGATCTCTGCAGGGGGCCATAGTGAACTTTGTGGCCTTTGGGACACAACATAGCACCGTGCTAAGGCTCCCTTGCTGTCCACCCATCTTCTCCCATCCTCCAGCAGAGTTTTTATGGCTCCTGCATAGGGCAGTTTGGAAGGGGCGGATGAGAGCAGGGCGGGGCTGGACATCTACCCTGGTTCTACTCCCACCCCCAAGCTTAGTGGTCTGCTTCAGGGTGGCAAGCAGTCTGTTCCAGCCTTCCGGGACCTACTGACCTGACTGCAGGTGGGAGGTGGTTTGGGATTCTGGAAAGAGTTGGCAAAAGGGAGCTAAGGCCCTGAGATCTGCCCCTTACTAGTCCAGGGAGTGGGGATACCCCCTGGCTTGCCCCCAGGTGTCTAGGGATCCAGGAGCCACCCAGCTGCTGCTCTCTGGCACCCACTTGGAGCCTCCCTCCCGTAACAATGGCCAGTGTGTGTGTCTGGCAGAGGAGGGAACAACCAGCTCAGGTTCCGTACCCCCCCCCTCCAACCTGCCCTTTTTCCCCTTCATGCCCCACCCAGGACAAGAATCTCCACCTGGCCTGTCAGGCCCTGAACGGGGCTTTGTTTCCCAGAAGGCCCTGGCCCATGACTCCTGTTTTCTTAGGAGGCCGGTGGGCTCTGGATAGATACTCTCTGGCACTTTGTAGGTGGACAGGGGCCGCAGGAGGCCCTGCGGAGTCCTGCAGAGGGGGGAGAAGTAGAGCATATCCAAGGGCTGAGCCCACAGTGGGTGGGTTTGGGAGCTCCTCCTTTTCCTATCCCCCCCAGTGAGTGAGGCTCAGCATCTTTCAGACTCCCCCCTCGGGAGGGTGTGTCAGTCAGGCTGCTGGGGCTGATCTTGACCTCGATCTTCTCCCACGGGGGCTTTCACCTCATCTGCGGTCCTGCCACGGACAGAGCTGCCCTTCTCTGAGGAGAGTGGCTGGGCCACTCAGGCTGTGGTAGTCGTGGGAATTTCTGAGCCTCTGTTCCCCAGCCCACGGGAAAGGGTGTGAGCGGGACTGAGCGCCAGCCCTGGTGTGGGCACGGGCTGAGCCGCCTGCCCACGCGGGCCCTGCCAGGACACCAGCAGCTCCACCTGCCACATTCCTGAATCTGGCCCGAGGCCTGCGCAGCCGCTGTTGTACTTACTCCATACCTGTGTTGTACTTACTCTGTACCTACATTGTACTTCCATGCCTGTGTTGTACTTACTCCATACCTACGTTGTACTTACTCCATACCCGTATTGTACTTACTCCATACCCGTGTTGTACTTACTCTGTACCCGTGTTGTGCTTACTCCGTACCCGTGTTGTGCTTACTCCGTACCCGTGTTGTACTTACTCCGTGCCTGTGTTGTACTTATTCCGTACCCGTGTTGTACTTACTCCGTGCCTGTGTTGTACTTATTCCGTACCCGTGTTAAACTTACTCCGTACTTGTGTTGTACTTACTCCGTACCTGTGTTGTACTTACTCCATACCTGGGCGCTGGTATGGAGACTTCCGAACCCGAGCCAGCCGGGTGCCTGAGCGCAGGAGGCAGTGGGCCTCAGGCCTTTTGGTTTCCCTCCTGCGAGCATGCGTGTGTACGTGTGCACGCACGTTTGTGTTCTTATGTCCTTGCCACAGCTGACCTTGGGCTTGTGGGCCCCTAATGGAGGCCTCCCCTGGGCATCCTTGAGGAAGGAAATGCATAGCTTGCTGAGGATTAAGCAGAGCAGAGCCGAGGAGCTGAACGTGCTGCTCCTTGCCGTCCCACCTGGTTGCCTCCTGCCCTCTCGCTGTCATTGGGTTTGGAGGCCCTGCCTTTCCTTGGAAGCAAATTAATGAGATCATGTCTGGGTGGATCCCTGGCTGTTTAGGGATGGGCCCAGGTGTGTGTGTGCAGAGACTGAAGCTGGAGGAGGGGGACAGGTTGGCCAGCCTCTGGTTGGGAAGCCTGGGCCACCCTCCATTGCTGGGCCTTTGAGCAAAGAAGAGACAGTGGCCCCTTGTTCTGGGTGGACCCAGCCAGTGTCAGCCCCAGGGCTTGTTAGGCATAGCCGGGCTGGGTTGCATGCTTCCCTGGGCCAGGCTTCCTGGACTAGGCACAACCAGGACAATACTTGGCCTTTGGCCCCGGCCCCCAGCCCATGCTGCACTGGTTCTGGGCAAGCTGTCTGCCTTAGGAAGGGCCTGGCTGGAAGAGGGGCAGTTACCCTTCTGTCTGGCCCATTTTTTAAGAGGGAGAGGTCAAGGCCCAGAGGTGGAATAGCCCGAGGATCAGAAAGAGGCCAGAAAGGGCTTTCCCCTTGGGGATCCTGGCTCCTGGCTGGGATAGCAACTGCTCTCCTAACTCCGACCACTGCCGCCTACTGGGGACAGAGTTCAGACCCCTCCCCGCACTTTCTCCATTAGCGAGCACCCAGTCCGTCCCACATCAGACACCTTTAGGAGTCGATAAAGTCTCCCCACCTGGCAATGGACACTGTTGCTTTCAGAGCAGTTTGGGTGTGCCCCAGGCAGCCATTTCTGACTCTCGTAGGGGCCAGAGGCCCTGATGATTAGGGAAAGAAGAGGCCAGGTAGCCTGCTCCTCTGCCTCTGGGCTCTGGTGGACATGGTGGCTCCTAACTTGGCATTCCTGGCTCTGAGACTTCCTTTCCCCTCTGTAACTAGGACCCTGCCAGTGCTGCCAGAAATAGCCCTTGGGTGGGAACACCGGGCAGCATGGTGTACGGGTAGGTTTGGCTGATCCCTGTCTCCTTTGGCTGTGAAATTCTTCAATTGAGGGTTCTCACTTTGCCCCCTTTCTCCCCAGGGCTCTTCGGAGTGTCTGACCGCCTCGCTGGAAGGATGGCCTCGGATGGGCATTAGAGGCACAACGGCCCCGGGCTCCCGTCCCGTCTGTCTGTTAGCATCTGTCTCTCTTGTCATCACTGCAACTCCACCCTCTCCTGTTGGCCTAACCCCCAACGCCAGCTTCCTGCGCGCCCGAGCCGGCATGAACTCTCCCAACGAGTCTGGTAAGAAGGGGAGGCTGGAGACCAGCACCCTGGTTGTCGCTTTGGGTCCGATGGATTGTGGGGGTGCCCAGCCAGGCCTCCGGGGCGTTTGAGCTGGGAGCGAGGGGTGCAGAGTGGAGAAGGGTTACAAGTCAAGGACAGAGGCACGATGGACGTTTCGACCAGGAGGGAGAGCTCTGGGAGCTGCTGGGTGGACGGGTTGGCCACGGGTTTGAGTCTGTCCCCACGTCTACCTTCTTAGCTCAAGGTCCTGAAGTGCCCTGTTTGGGAGTCAGGCGGGTCTGAGAGGGGATGTGCATAGGGATGCTGCTGCTGATTATGTTTCGATGCCCAGCATCTGTCCGTGTCTGGTGGCTTCTCCCTCGTCCTGGGGTGTTTGCCTGGGCTCGGTGCTTCTTCCCTTAGTGGAAGCTTAACCTGCTGCGGGGGATGTGGCATTGACAGGTTTGAAGAGGAGTCCGTTGTTGGCTTCTCCAAGCCAGGTAGCCTGCCCCTCTGCCTCTGGGCTCTGGTGGACATGGTGGCTCCTAACTTGGCATCCCTGGCTCTGAGACGTCCTTTCCCCTCTGTGACCAGGACCCTGCCCAGTGCTGCCAGAAATAGCCCTTGGGGTGGGAACACTGGGCAGTGTGGTGCATGGGTGGGTTTGGGCATGTGCCCGTGAGGATGTGTCCAAGTGGTCTGAGGCTGATCCTCAGTGTCCCTGAGAGGTCAGAGGTCAATGTGGTCAGAGAAATAAGTGCTTTCTCCCTCTGCCTGTCTCCTTCCCTGCCTGTCCTGCCTTCAAGGTCCAGAGTCAGTCTTGCTCAGCTTCCCACACCGCTACGCTGTTTTCTGCAGAGGTAGAGAGATGGTTTCTGTTGCTTAGGCCGAGGGAAAGGAGAGCCTAGGGGTGAAACCCATTTGCTG